TCCTTCCTTCCTTCCTTCCTTCCTTCCTTCCTTCCTTCCTTCCTTCCTTCCTTCCTTCCTTCCCTACCTACCTACCTACCTTTCCTTCCCAGTGGTTACAATACAGTATTGCAGGCTAACTATGTTCACATTGCCAGGAGTTTGATTCCTGACCAGCTCAAGGTTGACTCAACCTTCCATCCTCCCGAGGTGGGTAAAATGAGGACCCGGATTGTTGGGGCAAGAGGCTGACTCTGTAAACCACCTAGAGAAGGCTGTGAAGCACTGTGAAGCACTTTATAAGTCTAAGTGCTATTGCTATTGCTATTATGGTGACGCAAAGCAGTCACGTGACATCACTTAAGAACTATTTCACTCAAAAAATGGTGATTCCAGACTCAACTGTGGTCATACGTTGAGCACTGCCTGTAATGTGGTTTCATTCTGGTACAGGTGTATTATATCCAGCAATTCTTCTTTGTAAGTCACAATTTATGATTTAGCTAGGTAAGTGAATCCAGCCAATTGAATCATTAACTAACTACATTAAGAAAACCAAGGCTCCCTTGACTATAATTAACCTGAACATTAGAATTTAAAAGATCTGGTTACAGAAAAATTATCTGAATGTGTTACACACATTGATATGTTAACTATAGCTTTCATTACGTGACAAACCAATTATTCTTTAATTTACACACCTAGACAAATCTTACAAGTGTAACATATTCCAAAAGTCTGTGCCATATTTCCTACTGAACTCCAAAAATAACTGCTTTACTTGTCAGAGGAGGAAAAATAAGCTCAGCCAGGTCTCAAATAAAAACAACTGAAGCTGAAAATTATGGTTTAGCAATTATCCGCACAGAGATCAAATGGGAGACTTGTTCTCACCTTGGTTTGTTCTGCGGTAATGTTTTAGCGTCAACTGCAAACATTTTGGATATAAACACAACGACAGGGGCAGTTTCTTCACTGCTGCATTTCATAAACGCTAGGCAAACATGAAAAAACATAGTTATATTTCTTTTTAGGGTCTGAAAGAAAAAGTCTCTGGTTTGATATGTAGATGCCAATTCTTTAATAAATACAAACGAAGGTTATAGTTCATTTAGTTTAGTTTATTGTCATTACACCTCATACAATGAAATTAAATGCCATCTTCAGTGTGCATTATACATTAAAAAATAAAACAAAAGCATACATCCTTCACATTCTATTCAACTGAATGGAAAACCCCTGATATTGCATTAATATTGCAATATTAGTATTGCACTATACAGCAGAATATTAGTATTGCAATATTAGTATTGCATTATACAGTAGAATTCAATATAGTTACTACTCTGGGATAGAAGCTGTTTTTCAGCCTATTTGTCATTTTTATTATTCTGTACTGTCTGCCAGATGGTAATAGTTCAAAAAAAGGGTGCCCAGGATGAGATGGATCTTTGAGAATGTTTTGAACTTTCTTTGTTAAATGACAGAATAGTGCAGTTATGGATCTAATTGTCCCTTAAAAAGGCTATTTTTTCTATTATCCAAACTGCCTCCTTTACCTTTCAACTTGCTAATGTTTACTCACCCTCTTTTAGCTCTTGTGTTTCTTCTGGCAGAGAATCAAATGTTTTGGCTCCAATGCACAGTAGCTTTTCCACTCTCTCAGCAGTGATATCAAGAGGACTAGGCAGTTTATCACAAACCATGGCTAATCAGTGCATTAAGGATACACAGGGATGCAATCTGAGATTTCAGCAACAGTGAAAAGGAAGAAAAGGATATGGACTATTCAGTAAGAGCAAATCCCCTCTGCAAGAATTTTTTTTTTCAAAGTTCATACTTACCCATCAAATCCTAACATAATTCAGAACTGAACAGCTCTGCAGAATCACCCAGGAATAAATATGTAAAAATGTGGTCTGTGTTATTGTTTTTTGGGTACCCTTTTCTGATTCCTTTTATTGTTTTTTCCCCTCTTATAAAAGATCCAAACATTTATAAGAAGGCTTCTAATCTTCTAATATAAAATAAATCATCTAAGTAATCCTACTAAGTTCTAGAAAGGAATATGAAAGACACCAAAAAGCCCAGGAATGACTTAAGCAACTTAAGGCAAGTGAGCAATGGCTGGTTACGCCAATCCACCACTAATACTTTGGAAGAGTTAAATGAATGCTAACCCTCCTGCTTATTAAAATCAAAAAGTAAAGGGAAAGAGAACCAATACAGTACCAGTTTGCAGTGTAAACAGTATTTTTCTTAAAAGGATACAGAGAACTGCATCTGATATTGGTAGCCACTGACTACAAATGGCATTAAGCTGAACCTTTGGGTCTGTGTGGCGTAATTCACGAGCGGCAATTTTTAGTCCCAGAGAGGAGATTATTTTCTCTATTTTCTCTTTGTCTCTGTACAGGGAAGAGAAAAAAAGACACAAGATATTTACTACTCAGCGAATCCAGGAAGAAAAAACAAAAGGGGACTTCTAAATTCACTGGCCTGTTACACTTACTAATTTGACACTGCAGTTGCTTGATCAACCCACCAACCCAGGCCTCATCTTACATTATCATTTTTTCCCCCAGATGGAAATAGGTACCAAACCAACATATTAATCGACGATCAAACTCATCTGCCTCTTGGGTGATGCAGAGTAGGCATAGAATACTTCCAATCAAGAAAATGCTATTCAAGGATTCATCTCTTACCTCTTGGTCACTGCCTCGTAGAGACTCCATATATTTTCCAGCACTAGTTGCACAAATAGAGGTTTTTTCCCTTTCAGCTACAAAGAGAATGCCAGGTTAGACAAACATACAAAGCAGCTGTCAACGTTCCAGAAAACCTCCATTCCAACAAATAACTCCAAGACAAACATCTTCTCAAAAGTTGTGTTTTATTTGGATAGTAAACTGGCACATCAGGGGAATCCCGAATCTGAAAATTCCGGGTTTCCTTGCAATAAGTAAAAACTACAAATCCACCCTCTGCACCCATCATCGCATCACCTGCCCCAATCACCATCCGTCCCAACATGAGACGTCCCCTCACTCAGGTGCAGAAATAACATGACCTTGACTTAAAAGAAGAATGCTATTATGTCTAACCACATACACTCCAAGAAATTCTTCCTCCCATTTTCCCAGGCTCAAGAATGTGGCAGTGTGGAAGCGTCTCCACTCATGTGAGTAGATGGCACTTGGGTGGAGGGTGCTTGTGCTTACACACAAAGCTTCACTTGCACTTGGGCAAACATTCTCTGCTCACAAGTGGAGCTTTGCATGTGAGCACAAGCGCCCTCCACTCGCACCAATGGAGCTGTCACACATGCCCCTCCCTGGGTCAGGCCGGGCTGCTAAGATGGAAAGGTTGGGGACCGCTGAGCTACACAAATCTTACACATATAGATAAGACCCACCATCTAGTCTCACACCTATTACATATGTGTCATTCACCAAGCTTTTATGGGGGACAAATAACTTGTAGAGGACTCCCCCCCCCCCACACACACACACAAAATGTGGAACCTACAATGAACTAGAATGAACCCAAGTTTTGCTAAGTTATGGCAATAAAACATTATGGTCAGACAAAAATGAGATGGTAAAGTGAGAGACTGGACCAAGCAACATCAAATTTAAAAGAGTTCAAATATTTCTCCATTTGAAAAACCACCCTGGAAGGGGAAAAAAAGTCAGCCAAAGTGATAGATGAGTTCTTTCCTTTGCTGATGTAAAGCTTTGGTTTATGGTGCTGAATGTATTTCTCCTGATACCAGCAATTAAACATCTGATACTGCAGTTTCTCGTAGTGCTCTGAATTAACAATTGCTGCTCACCCATGCATTGAATTTGGGTGCAAAATTACTCATTCAAGAAAGGGGCAATGATGCCCACACCATTTTGCCCCCCCCAAAAAGTGTGAACAAGAGTCCTGTTTCACATCCGCGATGCCCAACTTACCTGATCCACTTTCATGATCTTCTTAGCTTTCATGTTTAAATAATAATCTCCCCAGAGAGTCTTCAATAATACTGATGGCTTGATTCCCATCTTCTGGCTGTACAGCTTAGCAAAATGTTCAATCCTGGGAAACAAAACACAAAATAAGACATGGGAGAAATCCATTTAAATGAACAGTCTTGATAATAAGGCATGTGTTGTTCATCTGCACAGTAACCAGCTGCACAACGCTTCTCTGAGGTGATTGAAAAACAGCCTTTTTGCAACTACTTTACAGTGAACTCACATAATAGCAATAGCACTTAGACTTATATACCACTTTATAGTGCTTTACAGCCCTCTCTAAGTGGTTTACAGAGTCAGCATCTTGCCCCCAACAATCTGGGTCCTCATTTTACCCACCTCAGAAGGATGGAAGGCTGAGTCAACCTTGAGCCTGGTGAGATTCGATCTGCCAAATTGCAGGCAGCTGGCAGGCAGCAGAAATAGCCTGCAATACTGTACTCTAACCACTGAGCCACCTGGACTTTCTTGTTTTTTTTTCTTTAATGTTAGTGTGTAAGTATACACTCTCATCAGATACTTTACTGAAAGGGTATCTATTAGCATGCATGCCACAAACTCTTGTCCCACTTCACACATGCACATTTGATGGGTGTAAGTGTTGTCTATTGTCTGGATGTGCATACAGGGCTGGAGATAAGAAGATAATATGGATACTCATGAGCTTAGCAAGACACACACGCACGCACGCACACACCCTTCTAGCTCTCACTGCCACATTCTCTTTCAATCTTTATTTAACTTCCACCTCCTCCTGGCTCTGGTCCCAGGTCAAAGGCTTAATCTAGTTGTTATCTATTACTATGGAACCTATTGTATGTTTGTATTATTTGCATCTCAATTGGTTATTCTCACACACTTTTAGTCCAGGCTACCTCTTTATAGACTTAGAATAACTTTTATTCTCACTTTGAATGTACACTGATCGGCACATATTAAAATAAAATTTTGCTGCATACAGCTCTCAAAGGGTCAGCCTCCTCCAACAAACACTACATAAACATGAATCTTGAGAGTTTATCAGATGGATGGCACAAGCCTCCTCCCAGAGGGGAGCAACAGAAACAGACCATAAAGCGGGGTATATTGGGGTCCCTAACATTGCTTACATGGGTTTTAACTTTTTTACTCTTTTTGTAAATGTTATAAGCCATCTTCTGGAATGGCAGACTGTATGAAATGAAATAAATCCCATTAAGTATAAACTCACCCAAAACCCCAGCCATCAATTGCGCTGGCAAAGACTACATTCCCCTGATCAGGTGAAAAATAAAGGTGAGAATCATCTGTACACTCCAAGCCTGTACTCCAGTCATAAACCTGGTCTCCGTTAGCAGGATCGGGATTCAGCTGAACATCCCTGTCTTCCTCGGCTCTTTTTTCAAGGATTTGGGAGGTGAAGAGTGTAGCAGTGATTGCATTTACCTAGAAACAAAATTGTGTCGTTTATTCTATGTGTGATGTTCTAGCTTTATGGTCCTACAGGCAGTAGAAACCTTAGCATAAACCTTAGAAACCTTAGCATAAACAACGCATTAAAACACCAGAAAAATAGGAATTAAAGGTGTTATACAAGCACTTATACTATTAAAATTAAGTACAGACAGTCAGTCCATTTGTTTAATGACCATTCAGGTTGCAGTGGCTCTGAAAATAATGAGGGCCATTTTTCATACTTACAACCTTCGCAGCATCCCCAGGATCACAAGACCAGAGTTCTGGTGCTTGACAACTGACTCATATTTATGAGGGTTGCAGTGTCCTGGGGTCATGTGATCACTCTTGGCGACCTTCTGACAAGCAAAGTCAATGGGGAAGCCAGATTCATTTAACACCTGTGTTACTAACTTAAACAACTGCAGTGGTTCTCTTAACAACGGTGGCAAGAAAGGGGATAAAATGGGATAAAAATTCACACTTAACAACTGTCTTGCTTAGCGATGGAAATTCTGGGCTCAGTTGTAAGCCTAGGACTACTTGTATACAAAAAAACCCCAATTCACTCAATCTGCACCAGAAAGCAAGACAAGAAACAATGGATGGAAACTAATCAAGGAGAGAAGCAACCTGGAATTAAGGAGAAACTTCCTAACAGGGAGGACAATTAACCAGTGGATCAGCTTGCCACAAGAAGTTGTGGGAGCTTCATCACTGGAGGTTTTTAAGAAGAGACTGGTCAGCCACCTGTCTGAAATGGTCTATGGTCTGGAAGACCTCCAAGGACACTTCCATCTCTATTCCGATTGATTGTTTAATATGTATTGGAAATACAGCTTTTTCCATTTTCCAATACTGAGACAAGGAACTCTCTTACCTGCTCCAAGATGTTCTTAAGGTGAGAATATGCTTCCTGAGGGGTAAATTTGAGTTCCAAGATGAGACGATCTATTTTATTAATCACCAGGACTGGACGGATGTTTTCCAGCCAAGCTTGACGTAACACTGCATGTGTCTACGACAAAACACAATTTTTGTGTTCACAGAAGGTTATGAAGTAAAACACACAAATAGGGATTTGTAGCACTTTGGGTCCAAGGCTGAAAGACGCTTTGAATTAAGTGTGGGCAGAGATGTTACTTGTCAGCCTTTCTTTTCTGGAGTTCACACAGTAGCTGCACCATGCCAGTAAAGTACATAATTTGAGTTAAGGAGGTGCCAACTGGGTATGGTAACAGGCTCAGAGAGGGCACTGGCTCCTTGTCAGTGTTTCTTAACCCATACATCTATTTTCCTGGGACTTCATAGCTAATGAGTCAGCTTAGTAAAAAGCGTAGCATCTCGAAAGAGATGCCAACGGTTGTATCCACGCTTGTTCTAAACCTTCAACTATGGAATATTATAGATCTCTATAAAACAAAACTCATCTTACAAACAATAACGATCTAACTTGAACTAAAGCATGGATGACGGCAGATGCTAATGAACCGTTCTGTTATATCCTTTCACAGAATTACTTTATTACAAACACACACATCATAGTCACCAAGTGAAGTTAAAAACTAAAACCAGGTTGTTCTTAAAGGCTTGGTGGAGCAATGTTTAGAATGCAGCACTGAAGGCTAACTCTGCCCACTGCCAGGAGTTCGATTCCTGACCAGCTCAAGGTTGACTTAGCCTTCCATCCTTCCAAGGTCAGTAAAATGAAAAGCCAGATTGTTGAAGGCCATATGCTCTCTGTAAAACTGATTAGAGAGGGCTGTAAAGCACTGGGAAGCAGTGTAAGTGCTAATGCTATTAAAGTTAGCATCTATAAACATATGTGCTTTTCCGCTTGGCATACTTGGATCAAGAACCTGCCTTAATTACTGGTGTTAAAACCCAACAGATGTGAAAGACCCACTGTTATTGATATTTTATTGTTTATTAGTGAAAAGCATCTTGTTTTCCAATACCTGTGGGCAGACTCCTTCCACAGCATCTACCACAATGATGCAACCATCACAAAGTCTGACAGCTGTGGACACCTCTGAAGAGAAATCCACATGGCCAGGGGAGTCTATCAGATTGATGAGGTGTTCCTGATTATCTAGAATCAAAGAAAAAACAAAATTAAATGACAAGTATTTTGGAAGTGAAGCCAGAAAGCAAATGAACTACCATTAAACAGATGAATGTGTCTGCTCAGGTATTTTCTCTTCTACTAGATAGAAGTACACTAGAAAATTTAATGTATCTGTTTGCAGTCAGTAGTTTCACGTTATTGCTGGGTAATCAACTATAGTTTGTTAGTGGTTTGAATTAAATATATATTCTCTGTGCTTGTGCAAACTATATTTTTGTATTTCAGTAACTATGCAACCTTTAAACTTTCACCCATATCTTTATTCTTCACTGCTCATCCTTTTAAGAATTGGTTTGTGAGTTTAAAAAATAACAGATCATGATTTCATTTGAACAGATCATATAATAAGTAACAGAGTAGGAAACAATTACCAATTAAAGCTCAATTCAGGGAGACTATTTTATGATCTTCCAACATTTTAACAGTTCAACAGTTCAAATGCACACCGAGAATGTGCTTAACTACTTTACCTTTCACAAAGAGCAATGAAATTGCACTTGACTTCATTGTGATACCTCGAACCTGCTCATCTTCTCGGCTATCCAAATATCGCAGCTGTATGGATGAAAATCACAAAACATGTGTTTCCCTATACATTCCATAGGTTTTCGTGACAAAACATTCATATTTAAAATAAAAGATTGAATAGATCTTAAAGCACCTTTCCTGCCAATCTTCTAGATATTATTCCATTGCTAGAAATGAGACAATCGGCTAAAGTTGTTTTGCCTAGAAAGAGAAATAAAAAAATAATAATAATCAATTTCCACCAAATATGATTATAGTGGGTTTTTTTTTTTTTGCTGACAACTCAGAAAAATATGTTTTTTGCAGAATCATAGAGTTGAAAGGAGGTTTTTTTTAGCCCAGAAAGTCCAATATTTTGCTCAGTAAAAGAATTAAAGTTAAAACATTCTCCAAAAGGGAAGGCTGTACTGCTTCTGCAGCCTGCTTGAAAATATGTAGCAAAGAATACAAAACAAAAACAAAAAACTCCACAAAAACTTCATCCATATGGCAATTTGTTACTTTTATGCCTGGCTTCCTCTGAAACCATACACTAGTTGTTCTCTAGAGACACGAAGTCCATGTAACACCAGCGATTATACAATATAAACAAATAACGCTTGTTGAAACAAATTAACTTAAACATACGCATACATTCACAAATAGTTATTCTTTAAAGTGGAGGTTATTTCTCTTACCATGGTCTACATGAGCCAGTATACAAATATTCCTGATGCAGGCAGTGTTTTGCTGAAGTCCAGTTGTTTTATTTGAACTAGCAAGAACCATGGTTTGATGTTTTACTGTAAGGAAAAGTATTTCATATTGAAAACAGGAAGATGCAAACTCAAAAACAAAACAAAAATCCTTCAGAGGTTTGGGTTAGTTCTTAGCTTTCCAAATAGGTAAGGAATGTATATGACAAATACATCTGGTTTTGCCCTGAAGCAGTTAACCTAAAATCACACAATGCGGATTCATCTTTTATGAGAAACAAAAGCAACAAAAACTTCAAATACTGAATAGTACAACTACTAACACTAATATTTCATGTTTTCCATGTATATGTATCTATAGCTGCATTATAATAAAGACCTTCTGCCATTTTCTTTAGTCAAAATCTGCTACTGCTATCTCTCTGTTCCAATTCTTTTCAGTATCTTAAGAAGCTGTCAGACAGGTGTTAGAAACATACGCTCAACTCTTTCAAAGAAAAACAAGACAAATGCAGAAAGCAAACTATATTCCTCCAACAGGAAAGGCATACCTCATTTTTAAAGCGAAACTAATTAATCACTACCTTATGACTGTGATTCCTTTATTAAAAGCCTCACCTTACACAAAATTACTCATTTCATTAGGAGGGCTGATATAAACAAGAAAAATTAGGGTGCAACCTCACATGAGATTACAAAATATATAGTTATTAAAGACACTGAAGGATAAATGTATCTTGTACATATTTCACAAATAAGCAAGCAAGCAAGCAAGCAAACAAACAAACAAAAGGACCCTTTAACAGGGGAGAGAAAACAGGTGCTTTCCCATGATCTGGATCATTAGGCCCAGACACTATGATCAACTTTGGATTAAATTATGCAAAGTTGTGGCATCAGACTAACTGGAATCTACTGGAATTGGGCACCTAATCAATTCAGATCAATCAATTGCTACCATATTTAACTTTGGGAGGGCACCAGGGTTCCTTTGGACCCAGCATATAGAGAAATACAGTACAGATAATCCTCAATTTACAACCATTCAGCTAGTGGCCGTTCAAAGTTGCAACAGCACTAAAAAAAGTGACTTATGACAGATTTTCACACTTATGACTGTTGGAGCATCTCTATGGCCACATGATCTAAATTTAGATGCTTGGTAACTGACTCATATTTACGATGGTGGCAGCATCTCAGGGGTCACGTAATCCCCTTTTCCGCCAAGCCAAGCCAGATTCACTTAATGACTGTTACTAATTTGACAACTTAACAACTGTACCAACTGTCTCACTTAGTTAGCAATGGAAATTTTCAGCTCCATTCTGGTTGTTAAGTCAAGGACTACCTGCATAACAAAATAGTCCAGGTAGTCCTCAACTGAGTCCTCAACCACAACTTAGGCCAAAATTTATCCTGCTAAGTGAGAAATTTGTTGAGTTTTGCCCCATTTTACAGCTTTTTCTTGCCACATTTGTTAAGCAAACCACTGCAACTGTTAAATTAGTAACCCGGTTGTTAAGCGAATCTGGTTTCCCGGTGGGCCGTACTTGCTGGAAGGTCGCAGAAGGGGATCACATGACCCCGGGAACGTTGCAACCTCATAAATGTGAATCAGCTGTCAAGCACCCGAAGATAAATCCCTTGACCATGAGGCTGGTGCCTTAAGTGTGAAAAAACGGTCATAAGTCACTTTTTCCATTGCCAGTGTAACTTTGGTCACTAAATGAGCCGTTTTAAGTCGAGGACTACCTGTATCACCCCGTCTGTTCTCAAAGGGGCTTCAAGGGGGTTCCTGTCCTCATTTCACCCCTACAAAAACCCCACCAGGGGAAGTCAGCCTGCGGGACGGGACGGGGGCGACTATCGGAGCTTTCCCGGGCAAGGCGGGAGGGTTCCTCGGCGTCCAAACCGGCTCGCCCGCCCCAAAAGGAAGCTAAGCTCCGCCCCTTTCCCCGTGCGACCCCATTGGACTGACCTCCGCGGCGCCCGATGCCCGCCTTTCCCGGTTCCAACCGGAAGTCCGTCTGGGCCGCCGCTCCGCGCGACTCGTCAAAGAGGATGGGCGGAGCTTCTGGAAGCCGGGACTCCTCCTCCTCCTCCCCCCCCGAGGGCTTGGCGAAGATACGGAAGCCGGGAGGGGCAAAAACGCCGGGAGTGTTGCTAAGCGACAGGGCGCTTCCCTAGTTACCGAGGAGGAGGAGGGAGGAGGAGGAGGCCGCAAAGGCAGCTGCTGGAGACGCGAGGATGAAGCAGCCGCGGTGCTTGTGCCAGATTTGCACTTGCGGGTAAGAGAGCGGCGAGGACGGGGAAGGTTTCTGAAGAGGCGGCAAGCGGCGCGTCTTCGGAGCCTTCGCGCCTTTGCCGCAGGGAGCATCGCGGGGGTCGTTCCCACGTAACGTGTTCTCTACGCGAGTGTGCCCGGGAGGACACCCGCGATGGGGTTCTTTCCGGGGTGATGGAGCGGTGTCATGCGAGCTAAGGCGGCTTGGCATCCCTGTCCAGCGACCCGCCACGCTTTTTCCCCCTTTTCAGCCCGACCTACTCCACGAGGTTGTTGTGTATTTAAAAAAAAGGAATTAAAAAAAAGAGACATGTTCTTCTAGCCTCCACCAAGTTGGTTGGATAAGAAGGGGATTTGCCCATTTTATCCTCCTTGCCTGCTTCGTTTCTTTTGACTGCCTAGCCAGAGTTAATGGGAATCAAGCAGTGCATGAATTTAATATATTTTTATTTCAGAGCAATTCCCTCATCTCTGGTGTATAGAGTTGAACTCTTGTTCTCTCTTTTTTTCTTGCTTGCCTGCCACTAGTTTGAAAAATCCCATGCTAGTGGCAGACAAGAAAGCCAGCCAGCAAGAACAAGAAAGAACAAAATGTCAAGTCTGAAATGTTTTTATCTGCTGCCGAAAAAAGGGTCAACTGGTGTGTGGCGCTCACTGGTAGGCAACCCATGAGCCTAGAACTGCAATTATATACATGTATGGCAGGTATAGGAGGTGTGGAGGCCATGAGTATTAGTGTGTCCTATATAGTCAATGCCTGTCGGGTAGGTGGATGGATGGAGAGAGAGAGAGAGAGAGAGAAGATGATGGGTGAGATAGAGATAAAAGATGATGGATGTGATAGATAGATAGATAGATAGATAGATAGATAGATAGATAGATAGAT